CGAAGATGAGCGATCGATTGCCCTGATGATGGAGGCAGTAAACACCCCTGAAATGTTCGTCAGTTTCCACGAGATCGCAATGTTTAACAACCCAGAAGATTGCCATCTTACCGCCGTGAGAATCTGAAATTTCTCTCGCTTTATTTAATGACACCTTTTCATCTGCAAACCTTTGAATGAACTATAATGAATGACGAACTTGGAAGGATTTTCATCACCCGTTGACTTATCACTTGTTTCCTCACACCATCAAACAGCCTAGGTGGTTTATTTTAACCTATGAGCTTCAACGCGGTAGGCGTTATTAATTTGAAATAAGTTATGTTGCCTTAGACGAGGCGAAAGGACCAGAATTTGCGTGGTTGGTCTGAGGAAGGCCACGGACAAGCGGCGGAAATGTCAGTTCCCGAATAAGATTTGCTGGGGTTCTGCCAATCGTTCCAACATCGCTCCTCATTTAGCACCAGAAAATCTTTGATTTTGACAGAACTTTGTAAGAAAATCAACCTCTCTCTCTTTGGTTCACTGCATACGTATGGACTTCAGCCCAATCTGGAAAGAGAAGGAGCGAAATGTGCACCCGAGACGAGAATCTAAAGCCGGCGAGTGCAGTTGTGCCCCGAGGAGGCAACCGGTCTGTTTTCGAACTTGATTACATGTTCTCAGACCCTGTCCAGTTCCGTTAGGCAATGCCTATAACGATTTTTCTGAAATTCTTTGCGGCTCTGTCTTACTCCAATCAACCTAAGTTATCGTAAAACTGACAGGGGTCACGCTATTCCACCCAAAATACTAAAGTTTTTTTTATAAACCTTTATTAATATTCTTCTTAAATGCATTTGACTTCCAAGGCCTTAAAGGGAGCGCGGTTTAGGGAATTACAGGAACAGATGTGTGATATGTATTTTTCCTTTAGCTATCATGCTAGGAATTAAATAATAAAACAATACACTAAACAGTGTCTTAGAGAAAATTATTTATTTTGATATATTTGTCACATAAAAGCAACCATTTGTTGTATCACAGTCTTCTGATATCTACAGAAAACAAGTTACCATCCTATCTTGTCCAAAAAAAAAATGATAATTAGTTTCTGGATATGCAACAGTGAGTAAATTAAATAACTAGACGAAATTACATTTTAATTGTAACAACTGCAAATACAAAACATGGAGAGAAACTGACAAGTTACTATAATGGCGGTACTCAGTTTCTGGCTATTTTATGTCTTCTAACTAAAGTAATGAACAAACTTTTAAACAACACTGAATGTGATTTCATAACAAACTGTAAGATCAGGAAGTATTCAACTTGATTACATTTGTGTTAGGTACAGTTAGAACAAAGCACGAGAAAATTAACACGCCGACAAAATACACGATTTTAATTCAGTATTAGTAACGTAAAGGAATGCAAGGAGAGATATGTTTTCTATATGCACTTTCTTAGATTTACGATGCTTGCTTCAGAACATACAAAATTGTTTTGCTGCTCAAAACTGGACCACAAAATCTAGTATCTCCTCAGCAATGCATATCCAAAAACACAGAGAAACTAAAGACACACTCTTTAATTCATAAGATCTCAAAAATTGTCTGATAAAAATACATTCTGAAGTATCAAACTTTTCTATTCTTTAATATAATAAGTGTCCCGATTTTTTTTAGTTACAAATATTTTAAATCAACAGTAACCAGCTTATGTATATTTACATTCTAAAAAGTTTGAAAATATACGTTCTATAATTTTTTTTGAGATCGTTCGTTTACATGACTACAGACTGTTGATAAAGGAGAAAAAAATATTACACGATAAGTTCATCATTAAAAAATAATGGCACAAAAGAGACATGGATAACCACACTTAAGGTCACATTTTACAGAATTAACAGTAATGTTTCAAAATATGTACAGTAAAACTATACAAAATTACAAAGCTGCCACGTAATGTTGGTGACATAAAAACGTCATTGTAAAGAAAACAAAATGTGTAATATTATGTAGCACTTGACATTTTAGAAAATGTTTAATACCATATAAAATAAAAGAATTATAAAGGAAATTGGAAACAAATCAGTAACAAACAATTAATTTGTAAATGATACAAACAATTTTGAAGGTAAAAGAGCATAGAATGTAGGCCTACATTTTGACAGTAGACATTTTGGCACAATGAATTCACAAGGAAGACATGTTGTATCTGAAAAATGGTTAATTTATTAGTTAATTAAATAAAATCATTTAGAAAACTGTAGCAGTGATATAGCTGGTTTTAAACATTTCTTTGCAAATATATACAAGAGGTGAAGAAGGTTTATGGTACAGAAAACGACAGTACACATGTGGTATTGGCGTGAATATAATCTATTTTTCACCAAGTCTAATTTTGTATATTGGGGTTGCATTCATTAGGCCTCTTTTTAAAAAAAAGTTTTAAAAACGTAACTATAGCATTAAAAGATATACTCTGGTAAAAATCTTCCATAATCTTAAAAGCAATATATATTTTTGCATTTACCATGCTTTTTCAGACTGATACAACACTTCTGTAAAATACAGGTAGCCCTCGATTTACGCCGGGGATGTGTTCCTGGACGAACCGGCGTAATCGGAATCGGCGTAAATTGGAACGATTTTACAATGTAAATGAATGGGAAGTCAATGACATGCGTTTCCAGCCCCCAAACATTGACGAGTAATATAACGGCATTATATTTAAAGCTCTGAAATAACGTAAATAAAATAAAGGGAATTTAAAAAATACATTTTATACACTTACAATCGGTGATGGCGTGATAAAGCGGCGTTAATTCTCTGACGAAGTCCCTGGTTAAGGATCGTCTCTTACCAGACATGGCGGTTCTTATTTTATTAATTTAATCCACAATTTATAAATATAAAACAGTTGCTACTGCAAAATAGTGGCCAAACAACAACACAAACACTTAGCAATTCGTTGGTCCCCGCGATTGACTGTGATTGTTTCATTGGAGCAAATTCGCGTCAACGAAACATACGTAATTGCAGAGAGGACTGTATTTATAATTTTTATTCAAAATCAGCGATGTAAGAACTACGATTTAGTATAAGATTCGGTACGAGAAACTTTGTAAAATGTTGTAAATAATAGTAAAATATATTTTTTTCACTTTTTTGACTTTCTGGTTTCAAAATCGGCGCAAATCGAGGGCTACCTGTATCTACCCAAGTCATTAAACTTTAATGGATGAAATTTACAGGTGAAAATGTTGTCCTACACAGTGTTATTTAATGACCTCGGATTATTTTATTTATTCTTCAAAAGGTAAAAAAATTTCCTAATATTTTCTCATGGATATTAAATTATTTTATGACATACTCTAAGATTCTTCACCACTTTATTAATTTACTACATATCTCCAATATGGAGAAATCAAACTGTGTAAACACTATGTACAACAAAGCTATCTCACTCGATGGATGGTTTGGGGTTGATTTGGTTCACTACAGCATAAAAAATTAAGCAAGGCAATGCATATTAGAAATACTATTAATCAAAGCTCCTTAATAAAAAATAGGTACAAAATCTTCATATTTATCTGAATACTCAGTCAAATGAAGTTCAGTATACATCATGACAGAAAAATTGCAGCTTAATTATGAAGCAAAAAAGACGAACTTTTGTGCTTTTGTTTTCCTTCAATCCAATGCAATGCAACATATTAACATATAAAACATTTTATCAAGCACCTGCTAAGTCAGCATTCTATATACAGTTATTGCACATTATTATAGCTTTTCCGATGGAGGAGACATTTAAAAGCTCTGACGCATGTACGCAGTTTCAATAACACTCACCAGAACAAAAACGTTGCTGCTTACTTTCGGTAATGTCTTCAATTTAAGAAAATAGTGTATATAGACCTACTTTATTTGGTTTTTAGTTTACAAATGACAGGTTCTTAGAGAATGTGTCTGCATTTTTACAATCAGGTTTTATCATTGCTTCTTTTGTCATGCTTGCATAATTTTTTACATTTATTTTTATTGTCAAAACCATAGCTTTCAAGTTTGATACCTCTGTCATGAAGACATACATTGCACTTGGACAATCACCAATTTCCCCCACAAACTTTGGCTGACAACTCTAAAACTTGTGAATTGTTCCAATGCTAATGTTTTATTTCATTCATTCATCCATCCTTATTTGTATATTTGTAAACACAGATATGTAATAAAATGTTTGATCACTGAATGTTACATTAAAAATATTTCCATGATAACCATTCATATATACTGCGTCATGTTATCAGAACGATTTAAAGTGAAAATCAACACTGTATCATTCTGCATTACCGAACTCAAAGTTTCTAATTTGCACAAAAAAAATTGTTTTTTTTTCCTTTGTAACGGCTGATATGAACTGGTTCTATTTTCACAGCACGATAATAGGATCATAAAAAAGACAACTTGAATAACAAACGTACTACAAACTATCATGAAAGTTAAAAGTGACAATTGTTTAAACAGTCACAATCCAGAAAATCACACTACATTCATTCACTGACAGTCATCTCAGAAGTGTTTCACATTTGCTTTCAATTCATATTTCACTGTTGAAGCCAGAAATATTTTTGACATCCATTATGCCTAATGCTATTTGAATGCATGCAGAATGCTAATCTGGAATGTAAGAACTGAAACATAATATCTGTAAGACTTGAAGTTCTCACAGCGATGAGTATGAAGATTTCCGTCTTCTGGGTTGTTGCGCTGTGTAGTCTGGTC